CCCGCACTCTCGCATGCAATTCAGGTGCTCCAGGCCCAGGGTTGGCAAATATGAAGAAAATCAAGTCCATGCACTCAGCATATTGCAAAAAGCAATGTTTTGGCCCGCACCGATGTCTATTTCAAGCAATTTAAACACTCAGACCTTTATACACAGAAAAGAAGAAAAAAAAAATCTTGCGTATACACAGAACAAAAAACTATATTACTGGGTGCCTGCTAGGTTTTACACACAAATCCTATACATGCATCAGCACTTTGTAAACAGCAACTTATTGATCTTATTCTTTTTATTTATACATTTCATATTTGGTATGTTTCTACAGGTATGATTTTATAAGAATTGCAATGATTTACACAGAATAATGTAAACTAATGATGACAAATGGTCAGTGATTATAAACAGTAATGATTTTATTTTTATATTTATTAAAACTTAAAGGTGCACTATAAGGTCATGAACACAAACATGTATTCCTGACCACATAAGGTTAAAACCATCATCTAGCTCCCCTGGCCCCCTCATGCCTCCCTAAATATAGTAAAATCTTACTTGTATTCAAATCTGGAGCTGCTTGCTTTGTCCCAGTTTCCTTTAGACCTGCCCACTGCCTGCTGACATCAGCAGAAGTGGTAGCCTGATCCAATCACAATGCTTCTCCATAGGATTGGCTGAGACTGACAAAGAGGCAGATCAGGGGAAGAACCAGCACAATTCAAACACAGCCCTGGCCAATCAGCATCTCCTCCTAGAGATGAATCTCTATGAGGAAATGTCAGTGTCTGCATGCAGAGGGTGGAGACACTGAATGTTTGGATGCATTTTAGGCAGCCATGAGCCAGGAAGAATCTCTAACAGCCATCTAGGAGTGGCCAGTGAAGTTATCACTAGGATGTAAGACAGTGTTTACAGCAAAAAGCCTGAAGGTAATGATTATATTCACCAAAACAAATTCAATAAGCTGTAGTTGTTCTGGTGACTATAGTGTCCCTTCAAGGTTTCAGGCCCCCACATACACAACCCATATTTCTGAAAATATTGATTAAATACATCTGGGGCTTTAGGGAACTTTAAAAAATCTAAATAAATACAAAACTCTGCTCAGTTCTTCACTTTACAGATATGCAAAATAAAATAGTGCATTTGGGAAAATACCAAAATCAGAGAATTTGTCAAATTTTACAATTGTAACCTAAAATACACAATTCCACAATCAACTCTCCACAGCTAATGACTTGTTTGTGTTTTGCACAAAGATTGAAACACATTGGAAGTCAGCATTCTCCCTGAAGTGTTTCAATAATTAAAAAAAAAAAAAAAACAAGTGCGGTAAATCTGCACTAACAGTAAAACTACAACTATGGGGTGTGGGAGGAGTTCCTGGAACTTTCACCTTGAATTATTCAAAGTAAAAAAAAAGCACTAGTAGCATGCTACATCATCGCTAAGCACTAGGTGCATTTACATGTCTACACACAGACTCTAGAAAATATCATAGGCTTTGATATGTTATTCATTTAGTTGTACACACACAGTACTATGCTTTGCACATCCATTTCATTTTGCGCAGATAGTCACATGTGTTTTGAAAATGTTAATGTCAAGAAACATTGTACAAAGGACCTTTGTTTTACCACAATACACATTCAACGGTTTTGTATAAAGATATATGGCGTATAGCAAAAAGGTATCATTTAAACGAGCACTTTTTTTTTAAATTTTTTTTTAAAGATCAATACTTACAGCTCTTGTGGGATCCCCAAAATCTATCTTTAATCTGCCCATTGCCCTAATGATGGCAATAATGGATTGTATAGTGTTGCTGTACACAACAGCCTTGTATTGTTTACATTCTTCTTCTGAGTAGCCGGCTTCATGGATGATTCTAAAACAGAAAAAACACAGCTGTAACCTTGAATAATTCAATATCACAAAAGTAGCACTCAAACATTTACCCGCACACAAGAATGTACAGTTATATGTCCCTGTTCCAAATCTGTTTATCAATGAAAAAGTAATAATAAACTCCACAAAACCAAGAATTCAATGTGTTAGATTACTCTTCAGTAGCGGGCCCACATAACCTGACTGGTTACCGCTGTTCAGCCTTTTCCTTCATCTGGAATGGAGGTGTTTAACCCCTTAGTGAGCAGACAGTTTTTCAATGTTCTTACCGTTAAAGGACCACTATAGTGCCAGGAAAACATACTCGTTTTCCTGGCACTATAGTGCCCTGAGGGTGCCCCCACCCTCAGGGACCCCCTCCCGCCCGGCTCTGGAAGGGGGAAAGGGGTAAAAACGTACCTTTTTCCAGCGCTGGACGGGGAGCTCTCCTCCTCCGATCCTCCTCCTGGGCTGAGCTGCGCGCGCATTCAGCCGGTCACATAGGAAAGCATTCATAATGCTTTCCTATGGACGCTGGCGTGCTGCACGCAAGCGCCTTTAGTGGCTGTCAATGAGACAGCCACTAGAGGAAATAGGGAAAGGCTTAACCCATTCATAAACATAGCAGTTTCTCTGAAACTGCTATGTTTATGAAAAAATTGGTTAATCCTAGCTGGACCTGGCACCCAGATCATTAAGCTGAAGTGGTCTGGGTGACTAAAGTGGTCCTTTAAGGACCAGGGCTGTTTTTACATTCCTGCAGTGTTTGTGTTTAGCTGTAATTTTCCTCTTATTCAGTTGCTGTACCCACACATATTTTATACCGTTTTTCTCACCATTAAATGGTATTTCTAACGATACCATTATTTCCATCATATCATGTAATTTACTATAAATTTTCTTTAAAAAAAAATATTAATGTAAAAAAAAAAAAAACAACCCAAAAACACTTTTTCTAACTTTGACCCACAAAATCTGTTACGCATCTACAACCGCCAAAAAACACCCGTGCTAAATCGTTTCTACATTTTGTCCTGAGTTTAGAAAGCAAGTTATAGGGCTCTAATTACAAGTAGGGCATTGCCGTTTCAAAATATAGATTTATAAAATGTATCGATAGTGACATTGTAACACTGTTATCTGTCAAATCTCTGAATCACACCTCATATGTACATATTTTTTAATGTAGACCACCCAGGGTTTTCAATATGGGGTATGTTTAGTCTTTTTTTAGTGGCCACTTAGTCACAAACACTGGCCAAAGTTAGCACTGAAATTTGTTTGCGTGTTAAAAACGCAAAAAACAATTATGATTGCTAACTTTGGCCAGTGTTTGTGACTAAGTGGCTACTAAAAAAGGCTGAACATACCCCATTTGCAATACCTTATTCAAATGGTATGCCATCATGGTGGTAATTCTCATTCCTGGGCTACCATACACTCTCAAAGACAACATAACCAACCTTGCAAATTTAAATGGTACAAAAACAGAAAATCAAGCCTTTTATTTGACCCCGTAACTTTAAAAAAACACTATAAAACCTGTACATGGGGGGTACGGTTATACTCTGAAGACTTCGCTGAACCCAAATATTAGTGTGTCAAAACAGTAAAACATATCACAACAATGATATCATCAGTGAAAGTGCCGTTTGAGTGTGAAAAATGCAAAAAACTTCACTTTCACTGACAATTTCATCGCTGTGATATTTTACTGTTTTGAAACACTAATATTTGTGTTCAGCGAAGTCCCTCAAGTAAAACAGTTGGAACATTTTTGAAGCCGGACAATATAATTTACCCCCATCAAGCAAAAAGTTTTTGAAAAGTAGACACCCTAGGGTATTTCAAATGGTGGTATTTTAACACTTTCCATGCACTAATTCTACTACCAGTCTCTGTCAAACATTTGGGTAGTCATTTTTTATGTTATTTTTCACACTTATTCTACTTTAGGCATGGATTCCCAGCTCCTGTTAGGTGTTACTGCCAAAGAACACCCCAATAAGTGTTCAGCAACATCTCCTGAGTACAGCGATACCACCCATATAGGTGTTTCGGGTTCTCTGGGGGCTAAAAGACCTTATTTGGAGAGAGCGCATTCCAATTTTCCAACTTGGAATTTTCCCAGTTAGTCATCATGCACACGTCCCATTTAGGACATTTTTGAAGCCGGACAATATAATTTACCCCCATCAAACCATATATTTTTTAAAAGTAGAAACCCTAGGGTATTTCAAATGGTGGTATGTTAACACTTTCCATGCACTAATTCTACCACCAGCCTTTGTCAAACTTTTGGATAGTCGTTTTTTGTGTTATTTTTCTCTCACATTGTACTTTAGGCATGGATTTTTAGTTCCGTTTATGTGTTACTGACAAAGAAACCCCCAATATGTGTTCAACATCCTCTCCAGAGTACAACAGTGCCCCCAATGTACAGGTTGTATGGGCTTTTGCAAACTAACAGGGGTCAAATGTAGGGCTTTTCCATGTTTGCATATTGAAATGTGCCAGATTGGTTTGCTGGGCCTATGTTGCCTTTGAGACCATATGGCAGCCCAGGAATTAAAATTAACCCCATCATGGCATACCATTTGTAAAAGTAGACAACCCAGGGTATTCAAAATGGGGTATGTCCAGTCTTTTGTAGTAGCCACTTAGTCACAAAAGCTGGCCAAAGTTAGCATTTTTCTCAGTTTTTTTGCATTTTTTTTACACAAAAACTGCACTTTTACTGGTGATTTCATCGTCTGAATACGTTTTACTGATTTAGAACACTCATATTTGTGTTCAACAAAGTCTCCCGAGTATAACAATACTCCCAACCGCCCACCCCACTATGTACAGGTTTTATGGTGTTTTGGAAAGTTACAGGGCTTGCCTGATCTAGTTTGCCAGATTAGTTTTCTGGACCTTAGTTGCCTTTTGAGACCATATGGGAGGCCAGGAATGTGAAATAACCCCATCATGGTATACCATTTTCAAATGTAGACAACCCAGGGTATTACAAATGGGGTATTTCCAGTCTTTTGTTGTGGCCACTTACGCTGGCCAAAGTTAGCGGTTTTATTGTTTTTTTTGTATAAATGTTTTGGTTTTTAATATTAATATATATATTAATATGTGTGTGTGTGTGTGTGTATATATATATATATATATATATATACACACACACACACACACACACACACACACACACACACACACACACTTTTATTTCCTATATGTATAATATATTAGAATTAAATCATTTTATATTATAAATATATAATGCATCTATGATTTCATAAGTGTATTTTGAGATATATATCAAAGTACACTTATAATGAAATCATATAGATGCATTATATATGTATAATATATTCTAAAATGATTTAATTATTTTCTAATATATTACACATATATAATATAGACACTCGTCACTTATCGTTAAGGGATTCCCTGCTCTGGTGCATTTCTCTGTGTTCGGTTAAACTTCCCCGAACATAGACGTACACACCAGAGCAGGGAATCCCTCTAATCTATATTCGGAGAAATTTCCCCGAACATACATTTGACTGATTCCCTGCTCTCGTGTGTTCGTCTATATTCGGGGAAATTTCCCCAACATAGATTTGAGGGATTCCCTTCTCTGGTGCGTTCGTCTATGTTCAGGGAAATTTTCCCAAACATATACATATGCACCAGAGCAGGGAATCCCCATGACGGCTTGCGCTAACGCCTCGTCGTAAGTGCGAGCCGTGGTAAAACAGGTAGGTCGCTAAAGGAGGACCACCTGTGTATGTATAATATATTTATCGTATTATTTTCTTTAGCAGCCTGACAGCTCAGACAGTGCCCCTGCTGGCAGCTCCTAGAGTCCTATTGCGGTGATGTGATCATGGTGATCACATGGCCATGGAGAGCCGGGTGGCCGGAGCTGCTGTATGGGGACTGCTAGGGTCTCTGGCAGTCCTCCCTGAATGTGATCAACACAGATCATTGGTCCAGGGCTCAGTCCAGAGAGTCCCACCAAAGAAGAAGACCGATCGCCGGCAGGGGAACGCGGCGATCGGTAAGTACATAGGGTGAAGGGGGGGAAGGAGGGTGGAGGTTAATTTTTTTTTAACCCCTTAAGGACCAAACTTCTGGAATAAAAGGGAATTATGACATGCAGTCCCCCTGCTGGTGGAAAAGTAAAAATAAAGCGGATTGGGGGGGGGAGGTTGTCTACTTTTACATATGGTATGCCATGATGGGGTTAATTTTCATTCCTTGGCTGGCATATACGCAGTGGTGTATTCTTGTTTTGTGCTCACCAACAGACACACACGCTAACACACTCACCAACAGACACACACACACTAACACACTCACCAACAGACACACACAATAACAGCACAATAGCACACTCACTAACAGACACACACACTAACGGACATACACACTCTCACTGACACAGAATCTTTGAAAGACACAGATACACTAACACACTCACACAAATTATTATTTTTTTAATTCAATTCACTCAGCCGCCATACCTTTGCTGGAGTGAATTCTCCATTTCCCTGTGGTCCAGTGGGGCTGGCAGGCACGGGCGCAGGCGGGCAGTCAGGAAGACAGGCGCACATTTCAGGCGGGAGGCGAGGGAGCTGTGATCTCCCTGCTCAGCTCCTTAGCACGCCTCTTAGTGATGCCGGAGCGATGTCAGATTCCGGCTCCGGCATCACTGTGGTGCGCTCAGGGGAGAGAGCATCCTCAACGCCCGCCTCCCAACTCATGTAATGCTAGCCTCTGGGGGGCCCAGAGGTGGCCAGCTCCTAGGCCCCCCCAAGAAAAGAGGCTGGCAAGGTATTTGCCAGGGTGTTTGGGGGGCTGCTTATTTTGCCGCCCCCTGAAAGTGCCGCCCAAGGCAAATGCCTTGTGGTAAATACACCGCTGGCCATACTGTCTCAAGGGCAACATAGGCCCAGCAAACTAATCTGGCAAATTTCAATGTGCAAACATGGAAAAGGGGAAAGCCCTACATTTGACCCCTGTAACTTTGCAAAAAACCATAAAACTTGTACTTAAGGGGTACTGTTGTACTCATGAGACATTACTCTACACAAATATGAGTGTTTTAGAGCAGTAAAATGTATTATACTGATATTATCAGTGAAATGGCAGTTTATCAGTAGAATACATTTTACTGCTCTAAAAAACACTCATATTTGTGTAGAGTAATGTGTCACAAGTACAACAGCACCCCTCAAGTACAGGTTTTATGGTGATTTGGAAAGTTACAGGGTCAAACATAACATTTGCCAATTTCCGTTTTTGTAAATTGCTATTTGCCAGATTAGCTATGTTTCCTTTGAGACGGTGTGACAGAAATGAAAATTAACGATTTCATCGTTGTGATGAGTTTTACTGCTTTGAAAAACTCATATTTGTGTTCAGCAAAGTCTCCCAAGTATAACAATACCCCCATGTACAGGTTTTAAAGTGTTTTGGAAAGTTACAAGGTCAATATAGGGCTTGCCAGATTGGTTTGCTGGGTCTATGCTGCCTTTTGAGACCATATCGTAGCCCAGGAATGTGAATTAACCTCATCCTGGCATACCATTTGCAAATGTAGAAAACCCAGGATATTTTTAAAATGTGGTATGTCCAGTCTTTTGCAGTAACCACCTAGTCACGAACGCTGGCCAAAATTAGTGTTATTAGTTTTTTTGCATTTTTAAAAAAACCAAAAACTGCACTTTTACTGGTGAGATTATCGTTGTGATAAGTTTTACTGCTTTGAAAAACTTATTTGTGTTCAGTGAAGACTCCTGAGTATAATATCATCCCCCATGTAAAGGTTTTATGGTGTTTTCATTTCTGTCACACCGTCTCAAAGTTACGGGGCTAAATATAGGGCTTGCCAATTAAATTCTCTGGACCGTCTGTCTGGGTTGTCAGGCTGGTCCCTCAATTTAATAAAATAGTTATGTAGTTAATAATATATATATATATATATATATATATATATATATATATATATATATATATAATTATAATGTGCGTGTGTTTATAGCACCAGGGAAGATTTAGGAGCTACTCTGAGCACAATAACCACTGCAGTTTATGGTTTCCCTTTTATTCTATCCCGATCCTCACTAGACCCCAGTGAAGCCACCCTCCATCTTATTTTAAAACGTATCCATCCCAGCAAAGCACCCAGAGCTCAATCAGCTGTTCCACTGCCCTTTTGCACCAGGTAGCCTTCTGGAAACTGTTTCCCCTCCCACCTACCCCATGCTCATTTATATTCTCCCACACAACTTTCATTCTCCTGAAATGACAGGTGAAAACACTGATCAGCACACCCTTCCAATCTATTAACCTTATAGAATACATACCCTCTCCCTACAAATAGCTATAGATAACACACCAATATTATATACTTTCATTTAATTGTTAATTTTTGTTTTTCACTATTTGTGTTTAATTTTCATCTACACACCTCATACCACTAACCTGAATTCTTAATAACCCTTTTCGCACTCCAATTTTGTTCACATCGCACACACCTCAAACTGGAAAACAAATGATCATACACCATGGTCTGCTCTTTTACTATAACGTATCTGCTGAGTGCTGGTGGAGAGTTATAAAAAATAGCCCTCCTACCCCCAACTCACAAAATTATAAAGTATCCCATTCACCATATGGCCAAACAAAAATGATGTCCAAATTCCTATTCCTTATGTTACTTGCCCTCGCAAATGATGTAGAGTCTAACCCTGTACCCCCCAGCTAATTCTAATCCTAATCTCCCTACTCAAAAAGGCCTCTCTTTTGTGCACTGCAATATCCGTAGCTTACTCCCTAAACTGGATGCACTGCAAGCCTGGTGTTCCCATTACAAACCAAAAATCATTGTGCTCTCAGAATCATGGTTAACAACTAAAATACCAGACTCCACCATTGCAATATTCATGTTTTAGAAATGACAGAGCAAAGAGAGGAGGAGGCATTTGTATTTATGTTGACCATTCCATAAAGTTTACACCCTTACAAAACTTTAGCCCTCCTGCCACCTTTGATTTCCTTTCTGGCACAAGTGAGATCCTATGCAGTAAATCAATCATTGTTGCAGAAATCTACCGCCCACCTAGCTCCTCAGTGCATTCCCTATCTGACATAGCCCATCTCCTTAGTGAAAACATAGCTCAAAACCCAAAAAGTGAACTGTTGGTCTTTGGAGATTTTAATATTGATTGGCTGAATACTAAAACTAAAAGTTCTTGCTCGCTGTTTAAGACTTTGGAGCTAACACAATTAATCTCCTCCCCAACTCGCATAAACATTAAAAGCCATAACCAGAACCCGGCTCACTTGGATTTTCTCCACTTCTCCTGATAGAATCCAGGAGGCAGGTGGTCTCCCTAACAGTTTCAGTGATCACCGTATAATCTACTGCGTGCACAAAATAAAGGCTACTAAATCCTCTCACAAGGATAAAATCACCAGGTCCTTCAAAAAATTTAATCTTGAATCCTTTCTTAATGACATCAAGAACCTCCCATGGCATAGATTAAACATTATCCCAGATATAGATTGTGCAGTTGAATTCTTTCAGTCTGAACTCCTACAAGTTTGGAATTTGCATGCACCGCTGCGTAAGGTGAGTAAAAGGGGCACATACGAACTGAATCACAGCTGACCTCATTCAAATGTTTCAGAATTCATTGTGGTCAAAGTTCAAGCGTACTGGCTCTATGAACAATCACTGTGCATATAAACAATGGCGAAATATATGCACAAAACACAAAATTGGCCAAGGCCCAGTATTTCTGTGAAAATCTAAACAATAACCTATTTAACCCTAGAAACCTTTGGAAAGTCATAAATAAATTACAAACTCCCCCAATCCACTCCCAAAGTAACCAAACCCTGCAACTTCCCTCAGATGTAGCAAATGCCTTTAACAATTATTTTGTGGATGCTCCACTACCCTGATAGCCAAACTAATAAATGACACACATCCTGAAACTACAAATGTGGATCAGGCCCCACTAAATTTGCAAAGACCCAATATAGACAAGTTCTTTTTTAGACCTGTACCTATTAGTGTCATTAAGAAACACCTTAATAATCTAAAAATGAAAAACCAGTCTGGACCTGATCAAATCCCAGCAATGCTGTTGAAGCTCAGTGCGTCTGCAATTGCTAAACCTGTCACAACCCTAAATAA